AAGAGTGGATTGATGCCATGAATGAGGAGATAAAGTCCATAAAGGACAATGTCGTTTAGGATCTTGTCCTATTGCCTGAAAGTGTGAAACCCATTGGTTGCAAATGGATATTTAAAACCAAGAGGGATTCAAAAAGTGATGTGGAGAGATACAAAGTTCGTCTTGTCGCTAAAGGCTTTACACAAAAAGAAGGCATCGATTATAAAGAGACTTTCTCTTTGGTTTCATCGAAAGACTCTTTTAGGACAATAATGGCACTTGTGGCGCACTTTGACCTTGAGCTTCATCAGATGGATGTTAAGACTGCATTTCTCAATGGTGATATTGATGAAACAATCTAAATGGTGCAGCCAGAAAATTTTGTGTTGGGAGATGCAAAGAAGATGGTTTGCAAGTTAAAGAAATCCATCTATGGGCTTAAGCAAGCTTCTCGTCAATGGTATTACAAGTTTCATCAAGTTATCATTTCGTTTGGTTTTGAGATGAATATCGTTGACGATTGTATATACCATAAGTTCAGTGGGAGTAAGCATATTTACTTGATTTTATATGTTGACGACATATTGCTTGTCACCAACGATATAGGCATGTTGCATGAAACCAAGAGATTTCTATCAAAGAAATTTGAGATGAAAGATCTTGGTGATGCTTCTTTTGTGTTGGATATACAGATACACCAGGATCGCTCTCGGGGTACACTTGGTTTATCACAAAAGAGCTATATCGAGAAAATTCTTAAAAGGTTTGGCATGCACGATTGCAAACCAGGTGACACCCCTGTGGCTAAGAGAGACAAATTTAGTCTCAATTAATGCCCCAAGAATAATTTTGAAATTCAAGAGATGCAAAAGATTCCTTATGTATCTGCAATAGGAAGTCTGATGCATGCTCAAGTATGTATGCGTCCGGATATTGCGTACATTGTTGGCATGTTGGGCAGATACTTAAGCAATCCTGGAAAGGATCATTGGGTAGCAGCCAAGCGAGTCATGAGGTACTTACAGAGAACAAAAGACTACATGCTCACTTATCGAAAGTTAGATCAGTTAGAGATCATTGGATATTCTAACTCTGATTTTGCTGGATGTCGAGATAACATGAAATCTACTTCAGGCTATATCTATTTACTTGCTGGAGGTGCTATATCTTGAAAGAGTGTTAAACAGTCTATTGTAGCTTCTTCTACCATGACAGTTGAGTTTGTAGCTTGTTATGAGGCGTCCAATCATGGAATATGGTTGCGAAATTTTGTCACGGGGCTATGTATTCTAGATGGCATTGAAAGACCACTCAAGTTATTTTGTGATAATAAATCAGCAGTACTGTATTCCAACAACAATAGGAGTTCGACGAAGTCAAAATTTATAGACATCAAATTCCTAGTTGTCAAAAAAAGAGTTCAGAGTGGACTTATATCTATAGAGCACATTGGGACAAACTCCATGATTGCAGATCTACTGACTAAGGGATTACCACACATGGTTTTTCATGAGTACACTGCTCATATGGGTGTGGTTTCTCTTCAAGATATATCGTTTTAGTGGGAGTTTGTATTTTAGATGCTTTTTCTTTAGATACATTTGTTATGGATAGTATGGATTTTATGGTTATTTACTGCAGTAAAGTATTCAGTTTTCATTCACTCTGATTTTGTATGGTTTGATCTCACTAAGGTTTAAGGAGGATCAGTTGGAAATAGGCAGGTTAAGATCACATTGCATGAAATTTCCATGCTACACATCCACACTTAATCTTTGTCATTAGTTGCATTGATATATGTGATCATTGATGGGTCTACTTACGAAATATATAACGACGATCGCTTTGGTTCTGTATTGATGTGGTTAATGGACAAGATTGTTAAAATATATAAAGTTTTGATAGCAAAACTCATGAGCTCATAAAGTATAATTCACGTTTATAAAGTTACATATATAGCCCAAGTGGGAGATTGTTGGAGTAAAATTAAATATATGGGATTATATATTAAATAAATGTGAATTATAGGCTATCAAATAAAGTTAGGTTCATTAAAATGATTAATTTAAGTTTTGGGGCCTTAATTAATATATTATAAAGTGTGGGCATTAATGTGTAGAGACAATCGTAATTTTTATTTTTATAATGGATTAAAATAGAAATTACGAACATGAATGACTGTTTATAAACAGACACGATTGTTTATAAATAGGAGTCATGGTCCCCAGATCACACTATATTTTTCTATTCTTCTGATTCCCATTGTCAAAGAGAAATTTAGACAGAAAATAAGTGTAGATCTGGAAGATCATAAAGCCTCAAAGTCGAATAATACAATATTTTGTTATAGATTCAGATACGCTTCCGCAAATCCAATATTTTAATTCTTGATGATTCAATATGAATGTTCATGTTTGTGTGATGGTTTTCACATGATGAAGTTATTCTTACATCCAAAGCTCAATAAATCATATGATCACTCATAGAAAGATTAACACATTAACAAGGAAGTGATATCAAATCGCACTGTAAGAAAAATTGAAAAGTTTCTGCCATGAAAAATAGTAATACAAGGTGAACGCCTGAGGGCAACATCACAAAAGACATGTTTCAAAGGGATAAAAGAGCCACAAAACTTAAAACACGTCATCTTTCAAGGCAGTGGTTTATTCCCCACCGATTATTGACTAATCAGGAGTTTTACCAATGAACCCAAATTTATCCTTTCCATCCACAACCAGCGTTTTGGCCATTTTTTTAATATCTAATTAAATTAGTGGAATCAAGACTGACTGATTAGCTTGGTGGGGAAAATATGAAACAAGATTAATTTCATCAATGGAAGTGAGGTAGATTTGGCAAATTACATTTTTTTCAGTCTCAATTGTTGGCATGTTAGTCATTTCTAAGAGTCACTTATTCATATACATGCACTTTGTGCACTTGAGGTTCCAAACAGTCTATTGTAGCTTCTTTTAACGGGTTTTTTCCGGCTGGGCTATTGGGCCGGACTTCGTGCCTGGTAATGGGTTTGGGGGCAAACTCAAGCCCTCTTCTTAAGGATATTGGGCTTGAGCTCGTGCGGGCTAACTATCGAGCCTATTGGGTTTTAGACCTATTTTTTTGGGATGGGTAACTGGAACTGTGGATAACCTGGCCCATGGACACCCCTAAGATTTATATCGCGAATTCTAGTTATCTAGTAAATTTTCATTACATTCAGAGACAATTGGATTTTTTTGCATTTTACAATGTGATTAGGTATTGCGCAACTAAAATTATTGTGATCATATTTTATTCGTGGGACTCGGAAAATAATTTAAAGTTAACTAAATAAAAGTATACTAAAATTAACACGAGACGAGATTTAATTGATTCGGAATAAAATTGAACCGGCTAAAATTGAACATGTGGCACGATATGGACCACGTATTCAAAGGTATATAAAGTGGAAGACCAAAATTCTTCCACTCATTCTTGACACCAATGGATCAGCCGATAGAGAGGGAGAAATTGGAGAAAGAGAAAAAGAAAAGAAATGCCAAATTTGAATCTTCTAGTTGCGATCTAGCAAAATCTGGGCAGGGACTCAACTCGAATCAAGTATTAAATTTTCTCATAACGGCGAGAGCTACGCGTGGTTCCCAATCTCGCCTAATTACTATATCTTTCAAAAATTAGAATTTTGGCTCGAGATTAAATCAAGGCTTTGGGAATCTAGATTCAGGTTTTCTTGGGAGTTCTACTCATTGGCTCATGCTACAAGAGGTAGAGTTTTCCCTATTTATATTTAATTTCAACCTAAAAGATGACATATGAAATGGGTAGGTTAAGGGTGTGTCTCATGTGTTAGCTCTTAACTAGTGTAACTTGTGGGTCAAAAATATGATTTATAGTTAATATTTTAATTAGTGAAATCCTATTTTGATTAACTTGGTGTAAGTTAATGTTAGCGGATTAAAGTATGTTAGTTGTACATTAGCATGACTTGATGTTTTAATGACATATCAAGTTTAATAGAATTATTATCTTGTTATGTGATTATGAAATAAGATGTATGCAAAATGATCATTTAGCATATGATTAGTGTGGTGGAATTGTGTTTATGTTTATAGAATTAATAAATAAGAAGGGCTAGATTATGCCTTGGGTGCAAGACCCAGTTACTTGGTTTACACACTTCCAGGCGGTGAAATTCTAGAAAAGTGTAACGGCAAAAATGAAGCCACAGGTGAGATGTCCTGAAAATCTATTGATGGTGTGGTGTTCCTTTGGTGACATACTATAAATCATCGCCTCGACGTATAAAAATCGTCGTGAAAAAAGATTGTTCCTACAATTTTTCGTGACGATTTTAATTTCGTCGCAATGATTTGTTTTTAAATAATTCATAAAAAATGATATTTCAATAAAATTTTTCACCTGTACACTAATAATACACGTGTTCAATAAAAAACTAACACAATTAATACATTTCACATCTTTTCCATTCAACATACATTTCACATCTTTTAAAAAAAAAAAAAATTTATTTCCAGAAAGAATAAATTACAAAAATCAAAGAACAAGATGTTCTAAACATAGAAAAAATGGTTTTAATCCTTCAAGATAATTTAAACCATCTCTAATTATATTTAATGTCTCTTAAACTTGAATAGGTCCAATAGTCCACCTCCATGCCTTGAGATACCATCTCCAAACTCAATAGATCAGTACCAGCGCAAACCGAAGGTAGATCAGAACAATCAGGCCATAGTCCAGGTGCCTGATTCATTCAGCTCCTGGCACTTTACAGCAGACAGCACCCTCTGAACATCATTCCATCTCAACATATCTACAACAGTCCAGCTTCACCTACTACTCATTAACACTACATAGACAACAATAGTACAGACTGCTAAACATGCACTCCTCATTCTTACAAAAACTGCACTTCAGAACTAACTCAACACCAGACAGAATTTAGAGCACCAGCAATTTGTCAAAATAGAAGAAAACCATTGAACCTAAAAAACTTTCTGTCAGATCAGCACCCAAGCCTTAAGCAAGCTCCATGCAATTGCTTCATATCCAACCACCTCCTCCTTATAGTAATAATCTAGTGCTCCATGACATCCCAGATTTTTCAATCCAGCAATACAGACCAGCTTCCCAGTCTTCAAAAACAGGTTCAAACTACACAATGCTGGACATGAACCACTGCATAAAACCATTGCCCTGTCCAGGATATGCATAATCAAACTGACCACCACACACAACCTTCAACACAATTAGAAAAAAAATAGGCTTAGTAGCCAAACAATATAGCATGCTAAACAAATTCCACAAGCACAAAACATCGACTTTGTTTAAAAATTAGAAGAGGATGCACAAAAAGTTGATGAGAGAAACCAAATTTGAGAGCACACAACAATCGGTTGAGCCTACTAAGGTCACTGGTGAATTAGAGTCTATTCTACTGGCCAGCTAAGGATAACCAATGGTTGGACCCAAAAAGAAATTTCAAATAGTACATAGGAGAGCAAAATTGAAAGTGAATTTTTATATCAGTTATACGTTCTTCAAAAACAAAAAGTGGGTAATTAACGTAGAACAACTAAGAAAAACAATACTTTACAACAAATAATGATGTTTTGCCCAATTTTGAAGGCTTTACAACAAGCTCTACATCAAAGAAGCATAATAACAGATGCAATAATCTACATGACAGATTCCACACACCACATTTATTTCAACTTGTCTAAAACCCAATAGCAATCCAAGCATAAATCCAATTATCCCAATTATCTGCCCTTGGTGGTAAACCTAAAAGAGCACCCTGATCTACATTCCGTAGCAGTCAGAAAAATTAAACACATACCTCAATTGATTTTATAACAATCAACCGATTCCCAATCCATGATTTAAAAAAAATCACGACATGTGCAACAGAAATAGAAATGCCTATTTCTAATATTTGGAGGAAATATATGTCATATTGGTGCAAAGTTGTGAAACCAAAAAATATTAGTTATATGTTGCAAGAACCCACAAAGACAATGCTAACTCTGATCTTGCCATGGACATAACTATAACATAAGTATCTAATCTGCAACTAAATCCATCATAAATAACCTTAAATGAGTTTCTTATTCAATATTGGTTCAAAATCTGACTGCTCCACTATGTTATACATGAAACACCTAACAAATGTGTTTCATCAAATTTCGATTCTCATCCAAAATTTGTATCCACGTCTCCGTCAAACATGCCCAAGGATAAACACACACACACACAAAAACACACATTGATTATAGATCAATAAGCTTCATTCCATCAACCTTTCTGACATTCAAAAAAAAAAAAAAAACCTAATTTGGAGGATATTCACCTAACTCATATGTTGAATCAAGATGTTGTATAAGTGTATAAATTAGGACAGGTTGATGGAATGAAGCTTTGTACTCCACAATATATGGATTTTGCACCTTAGAAATAAGCTCCAGCTGCACAGAAAGGAACCAATGCAGCATATTTGGTAACAAACAAAACCCATAACAGATAGACAATTTGAGTTCACATTTTACTCTAGTTAATTAGGAAGAAGAAACAAAAAGAATGTGTTTGGGAAAGCAGTAAAAGCATATTCAAGTTCACCTTTATAAAAGTTAAATAAGTGGTAATCGCTATGTATGTACCGTGCCCACCACTCCATTTCCAACTCGCTCGATTAAAAAACCTTTGCTACCTAATTCTCCAGGCTAGAACAAATCGTTGAAAACCTCAGCTACATTAAAAATCAGCTGGAACAAATCAGTCCAGCTGAGATATACCCAAATTCTGAAGCTAAAAACAGCTGAACAAGCCAAGAGATGTGAACAGTCATATAGCCAAAAAAAATACTCTCATTCAAATTAGCAGAGCCCATATGTTATTTGGATCGATCAACCATTTGTTGATCATTAACAAATTATTCTTGGCGAGACTCAATCAAATACCAACTCACCTTCTCATTCAAAAGTTTTCTTTCGGTAGACGTAACTTCAAGTTTTCCATTGTGATCAATCAATTGTTTTTCCCAAGGTTCTAGTTCAGCAATAACCTTTGCTAGCTCACCACGAAACATCTCGGTTTCAACTGTTTCTCAACCGAATAAAAAAAGGGACAACATTAAACACTTTCTCCTCAGAGAGCAAACATATTTATCATACCCTTAATCTAGCAGCATGTTAAATGAAATTCATAGCAGCTTTGATACTTGTATCTTAGTTTTTTACACTGAAGAAAATACCTTTGGAGTTCTCCTTAATTTCCTCAAGACGTTCTCTTCATCAAGAAAGAGTTTTTGCAATTTGGGAATGTCTTCCTCCAGTTGGGATATGAGATTTGTTGACTCCTCGCACTCCTTTGTTATGTCAGTAATCTTTGTTGAATACTACAGTGGAACCCAAAGTAAGATACATGCATTAGTTTCAATACAAGTGGAGACCAATTGTTCCCATACCTTGTCAACTTTCTCATCGAGTTCCTTGATCTTTTGTTTCATGTGCTTTAAATCTTCAAGTATTTAACATCTTGTCTTTCATACTCCTTGAATTCATCCTTGCAACGCCTAAGTTTGCTATCAAGTTCCTAGATTTGAAAAAAAAGTAAAGAAATATGTTTCACTATTGGGTTTGATCTTGAGCCAACTAGCATTAGCATGTACGAAAAGGTTTCTAAGACAAGGCATGCATATCTTAAAACCAAAAATTTACTGTTACAAAAATTTACTACAGCCAGCTTATTGGACAACAATACATCCAGTAGAGCACTCAACGAATACCTGAGAAACAAGAAAGTTTGCCATCTACAAAATAACCAGGAAAGATTATTCAAGCAGAGGCCAACAAACCAACTGTATAGTCACATGACACAAAATAACCCAAACCAAATCAACAGCTCCACCCAAAAACTTCCTCCAAACTAGTCTAAAGCAACAACCAGCTAAGCAAAGCACTTTCAAAACTAAAACTAATAGTTTGCGATTGCCTTTCCTTCCACCTTATTTCAAACAAATCAACAGTTACACCATATAGGAAAACAATTAACCCTTATCATAAAAAACCACTTAAAAGGCAAACCCCTCAAATCACATATTAAAACAACAATCACACATCAAAACAAGATGGAATCATACAATATTTAAATACATAACCAAAAGATAATTCTTCAGCCACTTTAATGTAGAAGTCTAGAATTCATTTGTTACAAAAAAGAAAAAAAATACATTAATAAATTATCAATCAAATTTTTCAAAAACATACAGGTTTTCTAATTCTTAAGTGTTGAAATTTTTAATTTTTTCTTAAACTTTCAACTCGTCCCGAAATGAGAAGTCTTTTCCTACAAATTTATATATCCAAATAGTTCTTCTTCGTCCGTTTTCAAGATGAATATAGTTGAAACGGGCCGATTGACACCCTTAACTCCAAGTTTTAGGTTTTCTAATTCTTAAGTATTGAATTTTCTAGTTTTTCGTCAAACTCTCAACTCGGGTCGCAGAATGAGAAATCGTCTTTTCCTACAAGTTTCTATGCCCAAATAGTTGTTCTTTGTTCTCTTTCACGGGAAATAGAATGGAAACGAGCTGATTGGCCCACTTAGCTCCAAGTTTTAGTTTTTATACTTCTCAAGTGTTGAACTTAAAAAGATAGTAAAAGGATACTAACGAAGACTCAGGTGGCATGTCTGCATTAGTTGAGTTGCCCTGCAGAGCACGTTACATTTGAAGTTGCATCTGCAAAATTTGTTGCATCATNAATGCATCACTTGGAACATACGATTCATTTTCACTAACTCCTATATCTTCCAACTCAAGAACATCTCATATTACACGATGATGTATGTGTTACACAACTTGTCAATCCCTACCCAATTTTGTATCACTAACATAAAATACTTGTATCACCTGATCATGTAGGACAAAATGGTTATTTTTATACCATCTATTTTTCACATTAATGCTTGTTAAATGAGCATCAGTATGAACTATTTTCCCACTACCAAGGTTGAACCATTCACATTGGCACAAAAAAATACCATGGCCAAATATGTAACTCATCTCCCACACCTTATTTAAGTATCCGTAGAAGTTAATTGTTTTGTTATTATGTTCTCCTTCTACAACTACCCCACTGTTTTAGCTTTCTCGAGACAAAGTGTACCACACAGCTGGTTTTACATATGACTCCCCATTCTTTTGGAGGTGCAATTCTTTTCTGATATTTATGTCCTCCAAATCCAGACGAGCTTTATCTATGTCCTTATTCTTGCTATCAGTACTCAACAATTGCAACTGGTCAAATAAGTCATCAATACGAGGTAAGGGATATTTGTTACATATTGTTACCTTATTAAGTTGGCGCTAATCAATACATAATCTTAAAGTTCTGTCTTTTTTCTTCACAAATAAGACAGGAGCACCCCCATGGTGAATCACTAGGCTGAATAAATTCCCGTTCCAGTAAATCTTGTAATTGTATCTTCAATTCTTTTAACTCAGTAGGAGCCATGTGATAGGGAGTAATAGATATTGGTNCCGAATAAATTCCCATTCCAGTAAATCTTGTAATTGTATCTTCAATTCTTTTAACTCAGTAGGAGCCATGTGATAGGGAGTAATAGATATTGGTAAAGTACCTGGGACTAGTTCAATGGTAAACTCCACTTCTCTCACTGGTGGTTGTCCAGATAATTCTTGTAGAAATACATTTGGAAACTCTTGAACCACTAGAATATCCTTAAGTTGTACCTTTTTTTTCTTGGTGTCCACTATATAAGTAAGATATCCTTGACAACCCTGCCTCAATAATTTCTTAGCTTTCATAGCTGAAATTAGGCATGTAGGGGTCACTTTTTGATCACCAAAAAATTGAAATTTTGTTTCATTTGGAAGCTTAAAGATCACCTCTTTCCTAAAACAGTCTATAGTAGCATGATATGCTGATAACTAATCCATCCCCAAAATAACATCAAAATCTTGAATACCAAGAGGTACAATATCAACATATAAATCTCTGTCACCCACATGTAACACATAATTCTTATATACCTTTTTTACTATCACTACCTCTCCTACTAGAGTAGAAACAACTAAACTAGTATCCAAAAATGTTAAGGGTCGGTCCAAATGCATGCTCAATGCACATGATACAAATGAATGTGTAGATCCTGGATCTATCAGTACACATGCATCTATACCGGAGATAGAGAGTGTACCTGTAACAACCTCAGGAATGGCTTGAGCATCCTGGCGGGTCATAGCAAATACCCTTCCTGGAGCAATAGACTTGTTTGTTGCTACTCTCCCACACCCATGATTACTGGAAGAAACATTACCACTAGTCCTCACACTACCAATTGAAGATGACATAGATGCAGACCCTCCTTGGCACTGCGAAGCTATATGTTCGGGTTCACCACATCTAAAACACACAATGCCTCAATCTAGCTATGGGCAATCTTTAATAAAATGATTTGATGCCCCACATTGATAACAAGTGGCTTGTCTGCTCTGCTCACTTGAAGATCCTCGATTAGATTGGCCGCTGAATCTTTGTCCATATGGAATCTTTCTCTGCCCTGAAAATGTTCTCCCAACTCGGTTTACATTATGGCTTCTAAAAGGTTGCATCCTCTGACTGTTCCTAGAAAAATTATCAATATATTTACTAGTTTGTCCTGCCTCATACTTACCTTTCTTATGACTTTTCGATTGACTTTGTTTCTCCTTCCCATCGTTTTCAATTTTCTCATTCACTTCTTTTTCCACCCATCTTGCCATATTCACTAGCTCAACAAAAGTATTTGCATGATAAGCTGTAAGTGGCGACCATATAGAATACTCTAGGCCCTTCTGAAATCTTCTACATTTGANTACCATCTATTTTTCACATTAATGCTTGTTAAATGAGCATCAGTATGAACTATTTTCCCACTACCAAGGTTGAACCATTCACATTGGCACAAAAAAATACCATGGCCAAATATGTAACTCATCTCCCACACCTTATTTAAGTATCCGTAGAAGTTAANCGACCATATAGAATACTCTAGTCCCTTCTGAAATCTTCTACATTTGAATTCTTCTGTTTTTATCATATCAAATGCAAAACGAGACAATGCTGAGAATTTGGATTCATACTCAGCTACAGACATCTTCCCTTGTGATAACTCCATGAATTCTTGCTCTTTCTCATACCGGTATGACTGTGAAAAATATTGTTCATCAAACGTTTTCTCAAACATAGCCCAAGTAACCTTTATTGGAGTTATATCATGAGCTCCTTGTGTCAGGGTGGTCATCAATCTCTGTGTATCCTGCCACCAATTTAAAGCATCCCCCGTGAGCATAAAGGTAGCAAAACTAACTTTTTGTTCATCAGTTGGGCACATAATATCAAAGATACGCATCATAGCTTTTTTCTAGTTTTTCGCCTCAGCTGGGTTTATTGACCCCGCAAAACTTGGTGGCCCAAGTTTCTTAAAATGCTCGAATAAGGAAATATGAGACTTTGTCATTTCAGGCTATGCTAATTCCAACTCGAGATTTCTAGTCTCTCTCACCCATGCATCAGAATGTTCCTCTACACCATGAGATCCACTATAGAACTCTTGATTTGATTGAACTGACCCCTCAACTGAATTAGATGCATCAGAGTCTATCTCCTCAACGTAGTAATTTGGTTCCATCGCTCTATATCCAGAATTCAAATCCAGTTACATAAAATAATATGCATATGCATATATGAACCATGCGATCACTAGACATCTTAGACCATGACTAAGAACTCGTACCCACTTTACCGACTCACCAACATACTTCCTATGGTCCACTACTAGCGCTAGACTTTAACATATCTACAGAATCTATAAACAGTAGCTTTGATAACAAAAACTATCACACTCCATCCCGAGAGACCTCTTTGGTTTTTCAGAGATAGAAGCGTAACTCAACACGTGGCAATACATGTATTTTTAATGCAATAATGCATTTTAAAAATCAATAATGCCACAATCAAAATAGAAACTATATAATAGGGTACACAACGATGTCGTTTTTGCCAAAATAAAGGATTAGGGATTCCATCCCTTTACAACAAACAACTGGAAAAATAGACACTCATGTACAGTATGTACATAACCAGATTTCCTTAGTTTTTCCCCCATCTCTACCATGCTAGTGCAGTAGTGGACCTCACTCTAGACTTTGGCATCCTGAAACTAATGATTTTCTTGAGTGTACTGCGTATCATAATAAATGGAGATATTAAAAATATAGATTAAATATCATTTCACCAAAATATGTTCACAATCTGAGGAGAACGTCAAAATCAAAGTGTTTTCAACTCACTTTGAAATATCATAATATCTACCAATATAACAACATTATAAATAGTTCACATGTGCTATGAGTCAACAACAACATTTAAGCAATGTCAGGTTATCAACAACATTTAAGCAATGTCAAGCTATCTACAACATTTAAGCAATGTCAAACAGTCTCACGACAACTGTGCAATGTCCAAATCAACAACATGTAAGTCATGTCAAGCTATCAACAATTCTAGCACAGTGGATACTACTCAAATCACAAGCTTTTCAACAAATCATAAGATTCTCAACAAAACATATTTGATCCATAGCTTAAGCAAATCAACATCAAATCAATTCCTAAAAGTTATACTTTTATCTCTAAGTATTATGAAACAGTACACTTCATATTTACCGCTGATAGATACCCTTCCTTTCTTTACAGTCGATTCCTATGTGTAACCGAGGTAGTAGCCTCCGACCCTAACAGTTAACACATGGATTAATACAAATGAGTATAGAATCAAAAATAGCTTAACCAATGAAAATAAATGCACAGGAATTTATTTCTTAATGTTTCGTATTCACCACAATTGCATCGTTTTGGACCACTGTGTGTTACCGCACTCAAAACCCTAATCCGGATCTATGATTTCCTGTCCAAATTCAAAATCATCAATCATAAGTTTTAAAATATATTAATAATTCATAAGTAATGCAATACATGATTTAAAAATAAATTTGAAAAACTTCAACTGATCCGGAATTGAGAAATTCTATCATGCGCTTCTTTTCGATCCGAAATTGCGAAAAATAAAATGAAGTTATTTTTCAATGAATTTTCATACACATACTCAATTAACATATATAAGAATGAATATAAAATTTATTTTCCCAAAATCATCCAAAAACTATGTCAAATTGGCTCCGGAGGTTAAAACAATCATTTTAATCCTAATTTTGATCCGGCCGTTTGATCGACTTGAAATTTTAGTGGGATTTCCGCACGGACGTTACAAAACTTTTGGCACCAACCAGACGTCAAGCGGAGGTTGAACGCCCCCTCACGCACCGTCGAGGTGCACTGGTGTACTTCCTCCTCCTTCATCTTCTTCCTTGGTCACTTTGACCAAAACTCTAGGCTCCTTCCACCAGCCCTAACCCCCATACTTCTCACTCTTATTTCTACCTACTCAGTACACTTTTTCACCTAATTTTGAACCTAAGAACTCATCACACATCACTCTAACAAATCCCATAATTCTCAAGCTTCGAATTTAACTTAAACCCATAAAAAAATCGGTCAAAGTAAACCAAAAATAAGGTTTCTAGATTATGGCCAGACCTGCAACTTGCATTTTAACCATCTTAACAACTTCTAAATCCATTTCTAAGGTCACAAATGGATTCCTAACATCCATTTTAGCTAGGAACAACCTTCCCTCCAAAGCTTAAGCCCCAAAACCAAGAAATCAAAAACCCACCATGGCCGAAACTTCATCACCACCACCCCATCACCTCTGACCATGGAAAGCCTTGAAATAACCACCAAAATACTCCTCTACCTCCCCCACAACACAGCCATGCCAACCAAATTAACCAAAATGACCTCAAACTCAAAACCCATTTCATAAAAACCTAGAACCCAAAAATTTAAAACATAAATTCGACCAATTGTAGTACATCATATGAAATTTTAATGATACCAAGAGATTCCTAGACCTCAAATTAGTCTAGTAACATACCTTTAATTGTTCAAAGTAGCTTCTTCCACAAATCCAAAATTTCAAATTTGATTTTCTTTCTCTATCTTCTCTCTTCTCCCTCTCTCCTCTTGGCAGTTCTCCCTTATCCAGAGACTTGCTGAACTCCTAAGCAACTACTCAATCACCCTGGAAGCTTGGAGAAGGCTGAGGAGAACTCCTCTTGTGCTGCTAGGTAGCAGCTTGGGAAGAAATGCCATGTAATGGCATTTTCATAAATAACTCAATTTCATTTTTTTTTAATTCTATTTTTTTTATAATTATAAACTTATTAAAACAAGCACTATAAAAAAATATTTTCCTATATATATTTTTTTTCATACACATGCATGCTCGGTTTTTACACGAGAGGCTTGCGAGGCTAGCTTGAAGGGTCTTGACATCGATTTTATTGATCTCAACTACGTTCATTGCATTGATACTCGTGTACCAATTGAAATCATGGTTGGTTTATCTTGCCTCTCTGATGTTCCATAATGCATCAAGTTAACAATGAATATAAGTCATGTTGTATTTTGCAAGATCTTGATGGTATGCTTGTGTATAATTTTCCCATAGTTAAGGAATAAATTTGCATAATTATTAGTTTTTCTCAACTTCCAAATCTAATGAACAAAACTTTTCTTGGATTGCTCTTTATTTTTATCATTAGTTGACAAGTTCAATTTCATCTTTACGTATTTGTTTGAGGAATCTAATTAACGATTCCATTATTGTCCTTGATTTTCTAGTGGTCCCCCCCCCCCCCAAAAAAAAAATAAAAAATAAAAGCAATGAAAAAGTTCATGTCACACTTTGCTTAATCACTTTTATGCCATGCTTTTTAACCAAATAGGAGCACTTAAGAAATTAGTTGAAGAGGGTAAAATAAATTACATTGGTCTGTCTGAAGCTTTACCTGATATAATCAGAAGGGTGCATGTTGTTCATCCAATCACAGCTATACAGCTGGAATGGTCCTTATGGACTAGAGATGCAGAGGAAGAGGTCATTTCCACTTGCAAGTGAGACATTTTGTTCGTGCCAAATGCTAACTATTTTGTTTAGGAAGTGATGAACATTTCAAGTTTCTAGGTTCATTAATCTTATAACTTTTCAGAGAACTTGGCATTGGAATCGTTCCCTAACGTCCTTTAGGAAAGGGCTTCTTCACATCAAGTCCACAAATAGTTGAGAAATTGCCAAAAATTAACTTCAGAAAGGTATATAGATCTGCAAAAAGTCTCTCTTCAACATTATTTTGAGGATAATTGATATTATCTTAGTGGCATTGATCTTTGTGGTTGTCTCTTTGTGGTTTCATGAAGTTTCTTCTTCTGTCTTAAAAAATGATTCATTGAAATAATGAGTCACTGTTGTTCTTATGCTGAATTATGTGTCTATTTTTTGTAGACTATGCCAAGGTTTCAACCAGAGAATGTCGAGCATAAGAACAAGTTGTACGAGCAAGTTAATATAATAGCAACAAGGAAGGGATACACTATACCACAGCTAGCATTGTCCTGGGTCCATCACCAAGGGGATGATGTTTCTCCCATACTTGGCACCACCAAGATCAAAAACTTCAATCAGAATGTCGGAGCTTTNACTTCAACTGATCCGGAATTGAGAAATTCTATCATGCGCTTCTTTTCGATCCGAAATTGCGAAAAATAAAATGAAGTTATTTTTCAATGAATTTTCATACACATACTCAATTAACATATATAAGAATGAATATAAAATTTATTTTCCCAAAATCATCCAAAAACTATGTCAAATTGGCTCCGGAGGTTAAAACAATCATTTTAATCCTAATTTTGATCCGGCCGTTTGATCGACTTGAAATTTTAGTGGGATTTCCGCACGGACGTTACAAAACTTTTGGCACCAACCAGACGTCAAGCGGAGGTTGAACGCCCCCTCACGCACCGTCGAGGTGCACTGGTGTACTTCCTCCTCCTTCATCTTCTTCCTTGGTCACTTTGACCAAAACTCTAGGCTCCTTCCACCAGCCCTAACCCCCATACTTCTCACTCTTATTTCTACCTACTCAGTACACTTTTTCACCTAATTTTGAACCTAAGAACTCATCACACATCACTCTAACAAATCCCATAATTCTCAAGCTTCGAATTTAACTTAAACCCATAAAAAAATCGGTCAAAGTAAACCAAAAATAAGGTTTCTAGATTATGGCCAGACCTGCAACTTGCATTTTAACCATCTTAACAACTTCTAAATCCATTTCTAAGGTCACAAATGGATTCCTAACATCCATTTTAGCTAGGAACAACCTTCCCTCCAAAGCTTAAGCCCCAAAACCAAGAAATCAAAAACCCACCATGGCCGAAACTTCATCACCACCACCCCATCACCTCTGACCATGGAAAGCCTTGAAATAACCACCAAAATACTCCTCTACCTCCCCCACAACACAGCCATGCCAACCAAATTAACCAAAATGACCTCAAACTCAAAACCCATTTCATAAAAACCTATAACCCAAAAATTTAAAACATAAATTCGAGCAATTGTAGTACATCATATAAAATTTTAATGATACCAGGAGATTTCTAGACCTCAAATTAGTCTAGTAGCATACCTTTAATTGTTCAAAGTAGCTTCTTCCACAAATCCAAAATTTCAAATTTGATTTTCTTTCTCTATCTTCTCTCTTCTCCCTCTCTCCTCTTGGCAGTTCTCCCTTATCCAGAGACTTGCTGAACTCCTAAGCAACTACTCAATCACCCTGGAAGCTTGGAGAAGGCTGAGGAGAACTCCTCTTGTGCTGCTAGGTAGCAGCTTGGGAAGAAATGCCATGTAATGGCATTTTCATAAATAACTCAATTTCATTTTTTTTTAATTCTATTTTTTTTATAATTATAAACTTATTAAAACAAGCACTATAAAAAAATATTTTCCTATATATATTTTTTTTCATACACATGCATGCTCGGTTTTTACACGAGAGGCTTGCGAGGCTAGCTTGAAGGGTCTTGACATCGATTTTATTGATCTCAACTACGTTCATTGCATTGATACTCGTGTACCAATTGAAATCATGGTTGGTTTATCTTGCCTCTCTGATGTTCCATAATGCATCAAGTTAACAATGAATATAAGTCATGTTGTATTTTGCAAGATCTTGATGGTATGCTTGTGTATAATTTTCCCATAGTTAAGGAATAAATTTGCATAATTATTAGTTTTTCTCAACTTCCAAATCTAATGAACAAAACTTTTCTTGGATTGCTCTTTATTTTTATCATTAGTTGACAAGTTCAATTTCATCTTTACGTATTTGTTTGAGGAATCTAATTAACGATTCCATTATTGTCCTTGATTTTCTAGTGGTCCCCCCCCCCCCCAAAAAAAAAATAAAAAATAAAAGCAATGAAAAAGTTCATGTCACACTTTGCTTAATCACTTTTATGCCATGCTTTTTAACCAAATAGGAGCACTTAAGAAATTAGTTGAAGAGGGTAAAATAAATTACATTGGTCTGTCTGAAGCTTTACCTGATATAATCAGAAGGGTGCATGTTGTTCATCCAATCACAGCTATACAGCTGGAATGGTCCTTATGGACTAGAGATGCAGAGGAAGAGGTCATTTCCACTTGCAAGTGAGACATTTTGTTCGTGCCAAATGCTAACTATTTTGTTTAGGAAGTGATGAACATTTCAAGTTTCTAGGTTCATTAATCTTATAACTTTTCAGAGAACTTGGCATTGGAATCGTTCCCTAACGTCCTTTAGGAAAGGGCTTCTTCACATCAAGTCCACAAATAGTTGAGAAATTGCCAAAAATTAACTTCAGAAAGGTATATAGATCTGCAAAAAGTCTCTCTTCAACATTATTTTGAGGATAATTGATATTATCTTAGTGGCATTGATCTTTGTGGTTGTCTCTTTGTGGTTTCATGAAGTTTCTTCTTCTGTCTTAAAAAATGATTCATTGAAATAATGAGTCACTGTTGTTCTTATGCTGAATTATGTGTCTATTTTTTGTAGACTATGCCAAGGTTTCAACCAGAGAATGTCGAGCATAAGAACAAGTTGTACGAGCAAGTTAATATAATAGCAACAAGGAAGGGATACACTATACCACAGCTAGCATTGTCCTGGGTCCATCACCAAGGGGATGATGTTTCTCCCATACTTGGCACCACCAAGATCAAAAACTTCAATCAGAATGTCGGAGCTTTATCTATAAAACTAACACCCGATGAAATGGCTGAGCTTGAGTCTATTGATACGGCTGATGCGGTGAAGGGTGAGAGTTATTCATCTTCACACATGGCTTTCACTTGGAGATTTGCAAATACTCCTCCTCTGTCCTCTTGGAAAGCTAAATGAGGGTGAGCTTCTTGATGCGTGCTAATACTGTCTTACTACTTTTGATGAAATTCTATCTACTTGTGTCTTGAGAATGTTATAATTCTGAGATTGCATCCTAAGTTAGAACTATGTTATTTTGATGAATAAAGATGAGCCTATGTTATTTTGATGAATAAAGATGAGCCACTTATTGCTTTTTTCATCTTGTCCGATTAGTAAATTTGATTGTTCGTACTATCTTTAATTTAGCTCCATGANCGAGGTGCACTGGTGTACTTCCTCCTCCTTCATCTTCTTCCTTGGTCACTTTGACCAAAACTCTAGGCTCCTTCCACCAGCCCTAACCCCCATACTTCTCACTCTTATTTCTACCTACTCAGTACACTTTTTCACCTAATTTTGAACCTAAGAACTCATCACACATCACTCTAACAAATCCCATAATTCTCAAGCTTCGAATTTAACTTAAACCCATAAAAAAATCGGTCAAAGTAAACCAAAAATAAGGTTTCTAGATTATGGCCAGACCTGCAACTTGCATTTTAACCATCTTAACAACTTCTAAATCCATTTCTAAGGTCACAAATGGATTCCTAACATCCATTTTAGCTAGGAACAACCTTCCCTCCAAAGCTTAAGCCCCAAAACCAAGAAATCAAAAACCCACCATGGCCGAAACTTCATCACCACCACCCCATCACCTCTGACCATGGAAAGCCTTGAAATAACCACCAAAATACTCCTCTACCTCCCCCACAACACAGCCATGCCAACCAAATTAACCAAAATGACCTCAAACTCAAAACCCATTTCATAAAAACCTATAACCCAAAAATTTAAAACATAAATTCGAGCAATTGTAGTACATCATATAAAATTTTAATGATACCAGGAGATTTCTAGACCTCAAATTAGTCTAGTAGCATACCTTTAATTGTTCAAAGTAGCTTCTTCCACAAATCCAAAATTTCAAATTTGATTTTCTTTCTCTATCTTCTCTCTTCTCCCTCTCTCCTCTTGGCAGTTCTCCCTTATCCAGAGACTTGCTGAACTCCTAAGCAACTACTCAATCACCCTGGAAGCTTGGAGAAGGCTGAGGAGAACTCCTCTTGTGCTGCTAGGTAGCAGCTTGGGAAGAAATGCCATGTAATGGCATTTTCATAAATAACTCAATTTCATTTTTTTTTAATTCTAATTTTTTT